ATATTTATTTCATACTCAATCTTAATCTTAATGATCAACAAAATTTTAATTTTTGCTATTATAATCGTGCAACCTTTTTAGAGAATTATAATTTTAAATATATTAGATTTGCATATTTTTAAAAATATGTGAATATAAGTAGCCATCAACTTTAATGTGTAGTGAATTACATTCAAAAAAATCTTGCCAATTTTACATGTTAAAGTCATCCAAATAGAAAGAAAATTGATATTCATGAGAATTAACTAATTAGAAGGTGCACACCGCAGTGCTTTTCTAACATTCTTCGTCAACTCTCGAGGATTTTTCAAAAATTTCAATTATTCTAAAATAACGACAATTTAAAATGTTTACATTGGTACCTCCATTTATATCAACAGCTGAAGCCCCGTGGTGCCATTCCGTGATGTGGCATTTTACTTTCACAAATGAAAATTTCTAATGTCGTGATAGAGCCCCATTACCAACAAATGAAAATTTCCGATGTCAGGATTGAAGTCCCTTGTTGGGCAAATAAAAAATCAAGCCTAATGAAACCCATCAAAAACTTGATAGGGATCCCTCAATGGGGTTCACATTCTACATAGGGATAAACTATAGAAAGAGAAAAGATCTTAGCATGTCGAATTACTTCTCTCAATCACTCCTGAGTGTCAAGAAAGGCCTCAGTTTGAGATTACAAACCAAGATGACAATGCCAAGCCAAAGCACACTTGAGAACAATGAGTCCAATTCAAAATCGAGGTCAATTTAATATCCTTCATGATTTTGTATCTCAACTAAACCTAAATCAATTAACTCAAGGACTTCCATCAAATCCCGCTTCACTTAATGATTTGGATATATTTATAATAGATCTCATTATTCTACAAAATATGTAAAAATTCTCATTTCATAGTTAGTTAAAATAGAAATTCTTTAATTAAGGCCTAGTATCATCAATTTTAATGAACTAAACAATCTTTCAAAATAACCAAGAGCTCTTCTTATTTATTGAAGTATATATTCAGTAATGAAAAAACATATACAAAATGTAAAATTCAGTGCATCTTCTCTCAACAGTTTCTAGCTCCTATTCCACACAGGTAATAAAAAAGAGGCTGAATTCCTCAACAACTAAGATAAAAGATAAAAAATAGAAATGAAGTTAACAAAACTGGTGGACAAATTTATTCAACAAAATGCAACAACATCCACAGCAAAAGTCTGAAAGAATCAAATTGATAAATAACATCATTTGAACTAGATGAAAAAGTCAAAACACAAATTACATGCAATAAAGTATTCTGAAGCTAATAATATTTTGTAACAAATTCAGCCGTAAGTATATCTGGTTAATCCTTGATGATTAACAAAAGAATTCTGAAACAAAAGTACACACAAAATGCACATAATTCTATTCATCAAGAAGATTTAAACAAGATCAAGTATTTAGTTTATTTTATTTTGGGCAAGGCTATCCCTATTTGGAAGGGGGTACAGAGTGCATTACGTTCCCACTATTGCGGTGTTTGAGAGATATTTCATTAAGGCAAGTAAATCCCCGTAACAGAATGAGTTTTTTTCGCAGTTTCAACCCTATGACAATAAGGCCAATGATGAAAATATCCATTGCTCCAAGTTTCACCCTTGCAAGGCTAACAGCATACCTATGGAGATAAACGCAAATTTAATGCTTAATATACGAAACTAGAGAACTAGTATTTGGCATGCAAAGGCTAAGTAGTTCTTTAGCAGAAAAGAAGCAATTGCAGAAAGAAATCGATAAAGTAAATGAATGGTATAATTAATTAAAAAAACCTTTGAACAACTGGCACTACAAAACCAATTTCCAGTTGGACATGACTGTAAATTTTTCCATCCTCCTTTTCTCATACATCCAACATGGTCTGCAAAAGATAAGAGCACATACTTCAAATTGATAATATGTCAGACAAAATTCAAGGAAATAAGTTGGTATAAGACTTACATTCATGCTCACACTGATCACAATATAACATTGTTTTATCAGAGAATTTTTCAGTATCAGGATTAAATTCACTCGAACTGCAAATATGGCATCGACAGGATGGGCAAAACCATTTATCCTCAGGCACAGCCTGCAAATACATGAATATCATGGTTCATGTATTGAATGAGGAAGATATTACCATAGTGGACAAAATAACTAGCATGAAGTACCTACTTCATATTCAAATGTATTTTTAAGACCTGTTTACAGAAATGAAAATTGGAGATATGAATAAACGCCTCTGGAAAAATCAATAAAATCATAGCTAACAAATCGACAGGCCAGGTAAAAAACAACAAAATTTTAATATATTATATTAAGCATCCCAAAGGTGAATTTATAATTGCAACTTAGCTAATCAATAAAAGCATGTTTCTCTACGTATAAAAAAATACATAAAAAGAATTCATGGTATTAGATATCAGTTTATCGAAAGATAACAGTATGATTGGCTTGGTAAATCAGCTCAAAGAAGCAAGGAAATCAAGTCGAGATATAAAAGACAGAATAGAAATGCTGACTCAATGACCAGGACCATAACATTAATCAAATTCTACTGTTAAATTAATTCACTAATACTTGACCTTAGAACTCAGAAAATTGCCGAATGCTGGCGATCAAGCCAAAAGTATGCCATGTGTAGAAGTTATCAACAAAATTATTTAAAAAAAAAAAAAACCTCATTAGAGACCTGCGGTGAAGGTTAAGAAGCAGACCTAACAGCAAATGGCAAAAAAGAAAGATATGATTGCAAAATTCCTGAACACTAGAAAATAAAAAATAATATTTATAACATTTATAATATTGTGAAGTATAATTAATATGTTTTCAAGGTATGAAGTGATAATAATGCCATAACATTAAATTAAGAAATTAAGTTCCATTGTGTTCCAAATCCAAAATTTTTTGTGCATAGATCACCATTAAAAAGATTCAGTAAAATGCTTAAGCTTTTAGCATGTATAACCTAGAAATATTCTATTCTAACATTCCCATCACTGCATTTCTTTCAAGTACTCCATCTTTCCTTTATCTTCCCACAATCATCTTCATCACATCCTTAATGATTCTCAAGATTTATAAGTGAAATCGAGTACCTACATTTGTATAAACATATTTCTTAGAGTGAACTCTCTATTCATTAATTTTTATGTTCTTTCTACCGCACTTCTGTGAAATTATCATCAAGAAAAATTAAAGCATCTTTTGAGATTATAGTGTCTACACAAATCTCTTACCAAAACAAGTAGGTTGCCTTACTTCCTAGAGCATTAAAGGCAAGGTGCTAAGTATGCTTTAGTGGTGACGCCAGCCTAAGATTTTTGCAAAGCACTTTAGTCTCAACTTGCCTCATTCATAGGTCTAATTGAGAGATCAAGTTGCCTAAACAACATTGATTGTGTAAAATTTTAAACTTCAAAGCACTCATCAAGAAATTTAATGACAGAAACTCTTTAAAAGTTTTTTGCCACTACAACCCATCCCATTAAAATAATCATATGTGCATGCCCGTGCACACATACATTAAAACATACTAAACCTGATAAATTTCCTTATATGTGTCTGAACATGAAATGTCTCGGGAAATATAAGTGATGGAGGTGAATAGAAAGAAACTCCGCATATATAACTTGTGGTGATCCTCATAAACAATTTGGATTAAGAGATCACTCAATTAGCCTCAAAATAATTTTCATTTGATCAATAGTCAATAATGAATACAAGTCATCTATCTCTATTTATAGAAATAAGATTATAAACAAAAAGAAAATTTTTCAAATCAAATTTGACATGAGGGTTTTCCTCCCCTAACGAAACGGTCTGGTCTTAACCGGTTCAATTTAGAGTGGGAAAGACGACAGACCCTTAGTCTTGGAATTGTCGCCCACTCCGACATCTACTAGTATTTATATGAATGTTTTGTGTCATAGGGTTTAGTTTTATGTTGTTTCTGATTTTAGTTCTGAGTGGATAGCGTTGACATCCTATTTTCTCTGTCTAGAGCTGTATCTGACGTGTAGGGTGGTGCTCTGGTGTATCCCTCTCCTCCGGTGGTGATTATCCTCTCCGACTTCCACCTCCACTCTACCTCCTTGTCGACAACTACTCTTCCAGCAGCCCCACATCCTCCTCCCTTTTTCCTAGCAGCCGGTCTCCATGCATCATCCAGCTGCCCCTGTCGCCACCTTCCCTAGGATGTGACCTGCTGTCCATGTCTTCCTATCACCTACCAGCCACCCTCCCGTCAATCACTTCTCCCTCCAAGATCACCTCCCGCCATCTACAACCCTTCCACCCAATCTGCTGTCTCGTTTCCTGCCAACCTTCCAACTGGAAAACTTGTGTTCCACTTTCTCGTGTCCTGCCTTCCTTCCCACAGCTACCCTACACAACAACTGCTCCTTCCAAGCTATCCACAGACGCTGCTCCACAATCCAATGCTTGTACATCACTGCCTATTCCCATACCTGATGTCCAACAACAACACCACTGTCGTCGCCTACGCCCTAGTCGGTGTCCTATTGTTGTTTTCCCTATTTCAAGCGTCATGTTTGTAACTATTTTAATTCCAACAATAATATTTTTTTATTTTCTATTGTGATTTGGGTTAACTCCGGTAGCATTTGGTATCAGTGCTAGCCTAACCATAGTCCTATCATAGAGTTTCTTATTATTCGCGTTATCCCCCACCGAAAAATTTTCTTTCCTACCCTGAACCATGCATTCCAAAATTAAACCCCAAATTAAATTTTCTACAACTTCAATTAGT